TGTTTACAACCCTAAATGCAAGTCACTGCTAAACAAAATAGTTGTCCAATTAGATGGCAAACTGTCAAAACACAAAAGAAAATCATTTCAGGTAAAACTTTGGAGATAAGTTTAAACTGGAGCACAAATACACAATCATGTGTGAAATTTATTACAAACTGGTTTGCCATAGCAAATGTTAAACTACAATGTTTGGTATAAATGGAAACAGAAACATTTTGATTTATAAACTCAACCACTTCCAGCATCTGCAAACATCTCCAGCCTCTTCCTGAAGACATCATGAGAGGCATCATTTTTCAGATATGAAATATTGAAAAATAATTCTGCAGACATTAACCTTCAAACAAGCAAGGAAAATATTGTTGTTCAATGTAGAGACAGTAATTTATCAATAAGTTAACATCAAGAACCAGACACATTAATGAGTAAAACCAAAATGAACAACACAGAAAAAAGCAGAAGTTAGGAGGAAAATATGATGATGTGTAATAGGAATGACACGTTAGGAAGTTAGAGCTGTAAAATGACACGTTAGAGTCGAAAGGCTTCAGACTTAGTAGGACGAAGACCGAGTACATGACGTGCGCTTTCAGCATGGCTACACACAATGTTTTCAGGTCGGCTGGTCGAACCTGTCGACCACGGACCGACCAGACGATTAATCGTGATTAATCGTCGACCAGCTAGATTAATCGGACTGCCTCCTTCCTATATATATCCTAACCCTAACAGGCCAAACAGGCCAAACAGGCCAAGCCCAGCAGCTCACATACCAGCCCAAAAAGACAAATATATGTCCTGGTCGTCCATATGCCCTGGTCGGACGATTAATCGCAATTAATCGACGATTAATCGGACGACCAGGTTTCTGGTCGAGCTGGTCGGGTCGGACCTCCTAATCGAGCACTTGGGAGCGACCAGGACGATTAATCGCGATTAATCGGACGACCTAAAATCAGGGGCTACACATGATGATGGTGACGTTAGCCTTGACGGGCAAGTGGTGGTCAAGGAGACTTTCCAGTATTTAGGATCGATGCTAAAAAAGAATGGCGGCATTGATGAAGATGTTAGGCATAGAATTGCAGCCGGTTGGTTGAAATGGCATCAAGCTTTGGGCGTTATCTGTGATGAGAGGGTGCCACAAAGGCTAAAAGGTAAGTTCTATAGGACGACAATTCGCCCAACGATGTTATACGGTCCTGAATGTTGGCCTACAAAAAAGCAACATGTCCAACAACTAAGTGTAGCAGAGATGCGTATGTTGCGTTGGTTTTGCGGGAACACAAGAAAGGATAGAATCCGGAATGAGGATATTCGAGATAGGGTCGGGGTGGCTCCAATAGAGGAGAAATTGGTTCAACATCGACTGAGGTGGTTCGGACATGTCCAACGGAGGTCTCCTGATGCACCGATGCGTAGGGGAGTTCTACAGCGGGTCGATGATGTAAAGAGAGGTAGAGGTCGGCCTAAACTCACTTGGGAAGAGTCGGTTAAGAGAGACCTTAAAGATTGAAATATCTCCAAGGATTTAGCGGTGGATAGAAGCGCTTGGAGGCTAGGAATCAACGTGCCAGAACCGTGACTTTTGCTCTTTTCTCTTTTGCTCAAATCTCTTCCTTTTGTTTCTGAGCCCTTTTTGTGTTTCTCTTACCATTGGTTCTCTTGGGTTTTATCTCTAGCCTACACCAACTTACTTGGGACTAAAAGGCTATGTTGTTGTTGTTGTTGTAGGAGGAGGAAAATATGTGAAAAGAAGTGGATTACATGGACCGAGAGAGATCAAAATCACTTGATCTCTAACAACACATGCCATCAATACACCAACCAGGGCTCTCAAAACAGGCAATATGCAATCAAGATACCCTTTTATAGCACATGAAATTCATCACTTTCTTCGATAATTAAGATTCTAGAAACCAATGCTATTGCATACATTAGAGAGTGAATGAATCAGTACTGCTTTATGTGCATCGAGCGACCTATTTTGCTATAATAAGTGAGTGCGCAACTTTGGAGCCAAGTGTCAAGCCTCTGCAGCTAAAGTTAATCAAGTCAAAAGGAGCTTTATCGAGACTGTGGATTAGAGAAACACACAATTGATCAACATCGTGGCAAGTAATGTTATGGCAGTTGAGGGAAATGGCCACCGTTGGTCAGAATATAATCAACAAGAATTTCTCATAACAGCTTTAGCATATAAAATTGCTCAGAATCATTAAGTTTCATTAATACACTACACCAGCCATTACCCTGGAATATCATCCCTAGTCCAAATATAGTTCACCATTGGTAGAAAAATGTGCCAAATGTGAGACTGGTTAAAACCATGTTTATTTTTCGTGTTAGCAAGGTCTAGTAATTTTCAAGTACGGATCTCCCTTGAAGCAAGATCCAGACTCAAACTATAATAACAGAAACAACTCTTTAACAAAGGAAGCTAAATTGAAAAAGGTGGAACTGATTATGCCAAGGAAAATAGTATGTGAGCCTGAAACCGTTTGATACTGAACCACATGATTCATTGGCATTAAACTAATCGTAAATGGTAAATAGAATTTCAAGCAGAAACTAGTGCTGTGATCCATAAAGGGGAAAAATGAATTTTCTTTGTTCGGAAAGATTCTCCTTTGGTATACAATCTATCTTCAGGCTTCTAGTTCTGTCTATAGAGCAAGTTTAATGGAAAATGCAAACAAGAGTTCCATGACTTCTCAAACACATTGTATTATAAAGTGTCAAAGCTATTTTTCACGACTGCAGACATGGCAAGGTAGCTGAAGGGTTCTGGTGGCAGAGATGGACAAAACAATGAGAAATACCGTAAATTAAATTTTGAACAATGGCTGAATATGTCTACCAGAGAATATAACTACTCAATGATAATCAGGAGACAGATCTTTCCATGTTAGTAGAATGCCCTCGACGAACCAACCAAGTTACCTAAACTACAGTCGATCTAAAGTTGGTTGTACATAGCAAGGTTCTAAAAACCGTAACGGTCATCGCATCGGTGAAGCTACAGGTTTAACCACGTACGACTGTAGGCGAACCGGAATATAATATTTACCAGTTTCAAATATCATATAGCATTTGAAGTTATGAGTCTAAAATAATGCAAATGTCTAATTAATCAACATAACAATTGACATATATGATATATCCAACATATTTATATATGTATTTTTATCTAAAATATGTGTTTAAATATATTAAAATAAGAAAAAAGGAAAAAAAATTGATCAGTTCAAACTGGTTTTTAACTAGTTTTTACTGTGAAAGCCTCTTGACCAGATCCTTGGCAAACTGTTCTGATTGGTGGACCAAACCAATCTGGTGACTGGTTCCCACTTCCCAGTCCGACCGTCCGGTTCTCAAAACCATGGTATATAGTACCAGAAAAACGCTCATTGCCCTGTTGAAGGATGAATAACGTGGGTGCATTTTTATATATTTTTTTTTTTCAAAAAAACAATTTTGATTTAGAGGTGATGGAAAAACTAACTCTGGATTGGAACTGGTGATGATAATTATAATATTTTGCATATTTTGATAAGGAAATGCAGGCAGCAGAAGACAGGATGCATCTCTGGACTGATCTCGAGGAACAAGGAGCTGAAACCAATTTCAGATCTGACTACCTACCACTCACTTTTTAAGTAACTAAAACGACCACACAAAAGACTGAACATCATCATATTTGGCATTCTGAAAAGTCCAGAAACTGGGGGTGCTCTCCGAGGGATGGACTACTTCATAATAAAACGACACCCTAGTTCATCCAAATTTTAGTAGAAAGTTCAACACTAAACTGAGTCATACGTCAATGTGTAATAAATCATTAAGAGAGACAAGCACACATGTAGAAACATGTAATATCCCCATATTTTCTGTCATATATTGATCCAAATAGGAGTAATGGTCCATGGCTTTAACAGCTGTGCATACCATTTCGAGTTAAACTTAAAACATATTCATTATTCAATCAAGTAAAACATGAAAAGCAAGCACAGAAAGGATATCACATAAACCAATTAAGAATTTAAAATTGGTAGATATGTGTAGCATGGAGAAATATATATATGTCACTAGAAGACTCGGTTCTAATAAAATAGGACAGATAGCAAAGAATGGCCAACAAGTAAATTGAAGGCAAAGAATTCATACACGAAATATTATCAACCAAAGCAATTAGCTTATAGGGAAAAGTCGCCCACAGTTCCAGACACATAAGATCTGGTGAAATGTGAATCACCTTGTATACTTACCAGTAAATATGTCTCACCAACTACAGAATCCATACTATCGTTTCAAGCAACCAAAATAAATCATCACCCTAGACAACGGAATTAATATTGTTGAGCCCTTTTGTTTTGAGCCCTTTTTGTGTTCCTCTTACCATTGGTTCTCTTGGGTTTCATCTCTAGCCTACCCCAACTTGCTTAGGACTAAAAGACTATGTTGTTGTTGTTGTAGTTGAAACAGAAGTATGATATAAAAAAAAAAGGCCCTGCTAATAGCCTAATACACAGCATCCATACACCCTACACAACAGACTTTGATATTGTTGATTGAAACAGAAGTATGATAAAAAGGCCCTGCTAATAGATTTGAGGTGTGATGATAAGGGCACTCAAAAATATCCACCGTCTTATGAATTCCGGCACATAAGGACAGTCGAATTTCTTCTCATCCATCCTCAACATAGGTTTGCAATTTACAATATTGCTCAGTGTGCACATTTCCATTGCCTTTTTCATGATCGACTGAATTGACCGGAAAAAACAAGAACGCAACAACCCAGAAGCATGAACAAACAAGTGGACATCATTCAACTATAATTTATTATGGAACTCTCCACATCAAGCGCTGCCCAGGCGCGCACACACATACACACATACAAAAGGAAGGAAATAACCGGGACAAAGAAATGGGGAAGAAAGAAACAGAGGAAGTTATTAAGAGGAATTTCACCTCATCATTTCCATAATCCAGAATCAAGCATTAGCAGTCTTGGGAACCAGGGGAATCGAGTGAGGGGATTGTGTTTTCAGCTGTGCCTCGCGCTCGCGGATCTTCTGCATCTGGAGCATCCGTTCCATGACGAGCTCGTACTCGCACTTCTCGTAAGTGTGGCGCTCAGACTCGCACTTCCATGGCAGGTAGAACTCCGCCTGCCGGCATTTGTTGAGTGGGATCAGCAAATGGGCACATTGGTCTCTGTAAGGGATTGGCACCTTCGCCGCCACCATCTCCTCCTGGGTCGCAATCATTTTCTTAGACGAACCCGAAACCTCCATTGTCCAAGGAATGGATTGATGAATTCTCGGATTTGAGATCTTATTCAGCTTTCGTTTTTGGTTTCGATTTGGGGAATGGGTGTCTTGCTATTGGTAGGGTTATTCCAAGGTTCGATGATTCACTAATTGGTTGAACCAGTTGAATTTTAAATTTTAGTATTATAATACGTATAATAATTAAATAATAAATTTTATATGTAAAATTATTATCATTATTTAAATATTTATATAATGTAAAATATTCAAAATATTACATTCAAATTTATATATATAATATTCTAAAAACATAATCAAATATAAAATTATATTTAAATATTAGTACTAATTTAAAAAAACATAAAAAAAATTGACAGTTGATGCAGCCAGGGAGACATCGATGGTGGGTTATATAGTCAGCTGAATGCAAGTAAATCGTGAGTACAAGTGGTTGAATCAAATTTCATCTCTTGAGAGTAAATCTTGATCATACATCTAAACAATATTTAATTGTTAAGTTTATCCTCACGTTCTCATTTTAAAAATCGGCTCATTTTATCCAAATTTTATATATCTCGTCCATATATAAACTACCGCATAACCCGTACGATGCATGAGGAAGCAATATTCAGTGATGAATATAATATTAGATGATGGGATATACGTTAACAACATAACGCAAAATTAGAATAAAAACACAACCGTATGTATGTCTACATGTTTGAATATAAAATTGAAAACACAATCATTTGCTTTTGAAAAGCTACATTGACAAAATCTTTCGGGGTAGCAAAATTACGAAAGTAAAAAGAAAAAGTTAGAAAATCGATAGGATACTCCAACTCATTGGTCTTCCCATGAATGATGAGTTTGAACTTTACGATGGTAGATCGTATTTACCAACGATATTTTCTAATTGGTATTTACGAATAACATATATTATACTCTCTTCAAACTTGCATATTTGGAATGTTAACGCCATAGTTTTTCAACCCTGACCGGCCTAGCAGGTCGACTCGGAGTCAGAACCGGTCTGGGTGGGCTATTCGGATGGGGCAACAAATGACCCGATCAAACTCGGTCAGAACCCAACCTTAACCCGGTCGATCGAGGCATTGACCCGGCTCCTATATTTTTTTTTAATTTTTTAAAGTATATTTTATTTTTTAAAAATAAAACTATGTATATATATTTATATGGTAAATATTATCATGAGATACATATTATTAACACTTTAATGTACAAATTTTATATACAAAATTTTTAATTTTGTTACTTTTATGCATATTTATATCACCCGAAGACTTGCCTGGGTCGACTCCCGAGCCGGGTTTAAAAGTTATGGTTAACGCCACGCATTAATTTATGCGGCCATCCTATAAAAATCGCAATACAAAAATAAATTTTTTAAAAAAGAAAATAAAACAATAAATATTATCAACTACTATTAAATCACACAATGAAGAATACTAACTCACTATCGTGAAAGATTATTTCCAAACAAGTAAGAAGTATCAAACATCTTACTAAACATGTTGCAAAAAGTTTCAATATAACTCTCGTACTTCTTTTAAGATTCATTATTAGGTGAAAAAGGTTGATCCATGTTAGAGGTATGCTGTAAAATCTCGGTTTTGCAGATTCTATCAATTCCATTTTGATCTGGCCATCATGTTTCGGTCAAAGTACATATGCTTGTAGTTTATTTATTTATGCAATCATACTCCTTGTCTTATATTGAGATAGTGTGGTTCGAAGTGTTTCGAACAGAAAGATCACCTATCGGTTCCTTATAAGACTAAACTATTCGTTCACAGTCTAGACAGGCAGTGAGACCCCTCTTAGATAAAGATTGTAGTGTATTCTTGATTCAGTTGGTCTTTGACTGGAGAATTACACTAGCACTTATGATAGGTGTTGAACAAGACCACGGAAAGATAAGATTATGAGACTCACTGATCGTTGTTGTAATCTAGACCTTCAGCAATTGATGTGTACTCTTAACCTGTAAGATAATATAAAACGGGCATATATATTCATAACTTATTTATTTGATTTATCAAGGGTGATTCCTATTCTATTAGGATGACATACTCGGTATTTTGGTAAGTAAGTGTGTTTATATGATGTGCCGTTATAAATTATTTACGGTCACTGTGTCCCAGTGCGCTGGGTTGATGACGTCTCCTAAATGAGCTCAGGAATGAATATTATGTCAAGCCCTGCGGGCGGATTTGTTATCCGGCATAATGATTAAAGATCTAAGTGGTACTAGTTTCGAAAATAAATAAGAAGTTGATTAATTATTTTGTCAGTAATTTGATTAATCAGCAGACGTTATATCTTAAACATGGGGAGATAAGCCGATCAATTAGATTGATATATTTAATCAGTGGAGACAAGTTAATTGTAATTCAGAGCTAAATGGGGAGAGCAATAATATTACTCTAGTGGAATTTTTATTATTTAATTCCAAGATTAGGAATTATGTATTAATTATATTCTATAATTAAGATTCCATTAGAAGAGCAATATTCCTTTTAGAATAATACCTGGGGTTAGGAGACTATGGAGTCTTCTAGAAGGTAATGAAGGTTAGGAGGAATAGGACTTCTAGATGCAAAATGAGATGGAAGATAATAAAGATTCCTAAACCTAAAGGAATAAGCCCATATTTAGCACCTCATTTAGGTCCCTATTGTAGCCTATAAATACACAAGTCCCCTAGCCTCTTGAAGATGATACACACGTTTTTTCTCCCCGAAGGGCTGGAGAAATTCGGCCTCTTCAAGTGAGAAAGAAAGAGAGAGATTCTTCTTCGAGAGAAAATTCCGTTAGCACCGTAAGGTCTTAGAAGAAGATGATCAATAAGCTTTGAGAAATCTAATAAATCGCTCCACCAAGATTTATTAGAGATCGTGTAAAGGTCATACAATAGAAAATTCGAAGGTTGTTATTCGTATCCCGTTGAATATATATATATATATATATCTGTTCATCCCGTCGAATATATTCATCCCCGCAGCATCTTCGATGGCCACCAAATCAGGAGAGAAGGTTCACCGGAGCAGCATGGGATCGTCGGCGTAATTCCGGCGACCAGCCGCCGTCGGACACACCGGAGCCGGAGCCCCATGTGCACGTACGC